GCAGCCCGGCCCGCCCGCAGCTGCCGATCCGGGCGTGCCGGCAGCGCCGGGCGGGCCTCGCAGCGGGAGGAAAGGCGCCCCGGCCCCGACCGGCCCCGCGCCCCGCTACAGGTGCTGGAGCCTGCTCGCCCCAGGCTCCCGATGGCGCCTTGTTCCCTGGCCTTGGCCCCGCAGAGCCCGGCGGGCGCTAGTCCTGGCGGTCGGGGGAGCCAGAGTTGAGTCCCGGCCTGTAGAGAGGCCTGGGGAGCCGGCCGAACCCGGCGAGCAAACAACTGGAAATTATTAATAGTTAATGCTCTTCGTATGGCTCCAGCCGCCTCTTGGCTCAGCAGGGCGGGCTCTCAGTGTGTCTCTGGCTCTCATTTCTGCCCCGGAGGGAAAGAGGACCTACTCCGAGTATCCTCAGGAGATTCGGGGGTGGGGAGACCCCACCCCCTGGCCTGGCTGCTCTGCTGAACAGGCTGTGGCCACACCAGACAGGGAAATTCTGCAGTGGGCGCGAACCGGAACCTTGAAGGACTTGGACAAGCTCAGCAGGCTGCCCACGGGCTGTCCGGGGGGCTGGGGGCTCTCCGGTGGGGGCCACAGCTTCTCATTCATGGCAGTTCCTTTCTAAAAACCAGATTGGGGGATTGCTCCCTCCTTTGGCTTGACAGAGAGGCCCTGAGTGGGAACTCGTTTCAATAGCTGTCAGCTGTAGCTATTCTCAAATCTAGTGGTTTTGCTCACAGAGACCTCCGTGATTTATCAGTTACGTATTGGAAGCTCTCACCCCCACCAGCCCCCCTCCCCTGGGAGTTTCTGATGGGTGTTTAGCTCAGGGCCTCAAGCAGGAGGTGTGCCTAGACCTAGCTGGCAGGTGCCAGCTCTGGGCGGAGGTGTGTCCTGGCCGGAGGAGAGGCGAGCTCTGTGCATGCCCCACGATGGCAGCCAGTCCGCATCCTGGCAAAAACAAAGGATACTTGTCCTGCCTGGGACCTGTTAAAGTCAGAATCTAAAGTGAGTAGATGTTAGAGGTCTGCTGGCAAACTTCAGCCCTCCTACCCTCCTTACCTCATCATTTTCAGGTAACAGAAAAGGGGCTAGACTCGGTCCAAGTCACATAGCTGGTACAAGGCACCTTGTCTTGGATGGTCCCCAAGGTTTCGTCACTGGAAAAGAAACCTGGCAGGTGCCTCTGTACTGGGAGGTCATTCTTTCATTTAGGGCCCGTGGGAATAGATTACAAAGTCAACGGAGCACAGTGTTAGCTCAACGATGGACTGTTAGCAATGGGCCTTGTGAGATGGGCCAAGTATGTGGCTATGTTGATCCCACCATGTGCACACCCCAGACTGCCCTGCCTCAAGTGGGGCATCCCAAAAGGGTTGGCAATGCCTCTTGGGGTTGTGGCAAGCGTGGGGTGTTGGCAGTAGGAGGACTCAGCGCCCTGGAGGGAACTCACCCCCCAGCATTCCCAGGTAGATCCTAAGAACTCTTCCCTAATCCTGGTCAGGTTAGGAAAGGTGTCCAGGAAGATGGCAGTTGCTCCAAGGAGGTGATGGCCTTCAAGGTCATCGGCCAGGAAGAGGTGGAGTGTGAGACTGTGGAACGTTGGCATGTTAGGCCAGTGCCCCAGCTCTCTCCATCAAAGTGTGGTCTGTTGTAGGGAGCTTGGGAGGGGTCTCCACCTGCACCTGCTAAAACCCGGGAGCCTAGCACTGCCACCCTCTAAGGGAAATTCTGAAGCATTTGGATTATCCACATTCTGACAGAAGATCCACAGAGACATCAAAGCTGCCAAAGTGAGCCAGGGGATCCGAACCTCCTGGCTTTGTGGGAGCCAGGCAGATCAGAGTGATGCCTTTGAGGCACCCCTTCCTCCTTGGCTCCAGGGTCATCAAGCAGCTGGCCCAGGATTTCACATAGTCCTCTTGGCCATCAAAGTGGACCCAAGAAGCATCCACACACTGACCTCCATCCTGCCAAAGTTTTGTCTGATCCCCAAGAACAGCTCCTCAAATCTACAGTGGATATCAGGAACTCTTCAAGTAGAGCTCAGTCAGGGCTTTCTGAATCCAGAGGATATCCTTGGCCCTCACCCAGGACAACTACCAAGGAGTTCCCAAAGCATAAGCTGTTGGCCCACCATGGCCTCCTTCCCCACAGAGGAACCCAGCATCGACACACACAAGAAACTGGAGGGGCTTGAAGAGGTATCCAGCTCCAGGTCTGGACACTGATGGAGAAGTAGAGTTGGAGACCAGGGTCCCAGACAGACTCCCGTGAAACAGGTGCACCCTCTCCCAATAAGCTGCACCAAACTCTGACCCTCCATTGGCTCCCAGCCAATCAAAAGACAAAGAGGAAGGACCCAAGGTTTGTACACTCTTGCTAGACTGTCCTTGAAGAGCTTCAAGGTAAGTCCGAGCTGACTGGAAGCCACATGGGGACCAAGGAGAGGGTGGGGAACATTCTGCCTGCACAGGCATCTCCATCGACTCATGGCATTCCTGATGGACATGAGCAGAGGTTTTCTTACAACAGAAATTATCCAACTTCAACCTGACCACGTGTCCTTCTGGGTGGGAGAGCAGGGGGACTTCCTTTGTAACTCAAAGGGAGCCATGTAGCTCAGACTGGAAATCAGTTGTATTTCCTCAGCCCTGAGCAATGAGTTCATGCTGTAAATGTACTGTGGTCCTTTGGAAGATCCCCACTTCCCTGGGCTCATCATTGTCCTACATCTTATTCCAGATTGCTTTCCATGGGATGTTTCTTTAAAAAAATCTCTAACCAAACCTTGGGAGGGATGATGGATTCCACCTTTGCCCCCTCCTGGTCCACCTTTGAGGCCTTCTTCTGAGGCATAGCTGGGGCACACCTAGAAATCAGGGGGGGAGCTACACGAAACAAAACAAGACCATGGAGCCTGCTTAAGAGTGGACTCTTCTCAAAGCTGTCTTTTCAGAGCGTGCCTGGGCCATGTCCCCCTGCCTGGTTCACAGAGACCGGTGTCCTCAGAGGACTTGGCTTCTGGCCTGGGGCCTTTCTCAGCAGGGTCTGAGGAAAAAAAGATGCCTAACAATGATGCCAGTCCTGCATTTTCCCTTTTTCTGCACTAAATTAAGCTGATGGCTGAATGGAGTTGAATCAGACAAGAACAGGGCAGGACCCCCACAACTGCTGCTGTTTATTGTTTTGGAACAGCCTGTCTTCAGTAAACCCAGCCAGCCAGAGGATTAAAAACAGCGATGGCTCCAGCATGCTGGCCTGTGCCCCGTGCCACCTTGCAGTCCCAGCGCATTGGGCCCTGGAGTTCTGGAATTCACAGAGCAGCGGATTTGCCTTAGTGTTGAATCAGGTCCCCCTTTCCTTCACATGCACCTGTATCAACCAAAATGCTTTTTTTTTTAATTAAACTTTATTTCCATAAGTATTTTGGGATTAAGATTAGAGTTTTCAAAGAACATTGAAAGGGACCTGCCATATTAAAAAAAAAAAGGAACTGAATAAAAAGATATACTCACAGGAGTGTGTGCACAGGCATTGGTGAGGATGGTTTATAACCCTGAGCCCTGACACTCACAAAGGTGGTGTGAGCCACATAGAGCCAAGGGACACCCAAGTTCTGGCTTAGCAATTTCAGGTTGAAGTGGGCCTGAGGGAACAGATCAGTTCCTCTTCTTCTGTTTTTTTTTTTTTTTTTTT